AAACTGGCAGCAAGCTCTGCATGTATATAATATCATACAGAAAAAAACTCAATTTGGGCTTAACCATAAAGTCGAATTGGGCTTTACATAGTCGTATAGTGAATGTATAATTACTCCGATGATATTTTCACAGTCGTTATCATATATTTTGTGAAACAATACACTTTAAGTGTTCACATGCAGACATCAGAATATTTTAATTAAATTAGCGAGTTAAAAAAAAAACCTTAGAAATTGGAATTTAATATGAGCATTTGTATGCATAGACAAGTTGTGAAACGATAAGTTATGAGTGCTAAAAGGTTTTAGGAGACAAACGCATGATAACTGACGAGTATTCGAAAATTTATATTACGTATGAAATAATTTGAGAGATTTTATACTGAATATTTTTAAGTACACAATTGTTGGCTTTTTAAAGTAATACCTCACAAGACACTCTCAATAAACTGCTACTCGGTGCCCGCTAGTTTTACCGCGTGTAATTTCTTATATTTTTCGATGTCCATTATCACAGCAGTTCTGTGCGTCATATACGTTTTTATGTGCTACTACAGTTTTATGTACGTCTTTTAAACATAAAGAATTGCTATATAAATGAACTAGACAGTCTTACTGCACGTCATCAATCCTATAAATGAACGTAAAAATTTTTACTTGTCTTGTTGCAACACATTGAGTTTTAGTTCATAATATGAATGTGTTTTTGGTTTTAAATTATATTATAATTTTTATTTTTATTATAATTTGTAGCTAAAAAACAATAAAAAAATAAATAATACATAAATTAGATTTAATACTGAGATATTATTTTTGTGATGTATATTTTATAAGATACTCGCGATGTCAATTAAGGAATGTGAGTTATTATAATATATTAATTGTTATATTAAGTAATAGTACTTTTACTACAATTAATTGTTAATTTTTACATAAAAATAAAAATCAATAAAAATATGATAATGTACTCAGTTTAAAATACACTACATTGTTATAAAATATACATCACCCGAAATAATATAAAAGTAAATAATCGTACCAAACTACATAATAAATAAATAGTAATTAAAACGGGCGGATGGTTTTAAGATACGTTTGTCATTGTTGGGGATGTAAAAAATTCTGTATGCATAAACAAATTACAAACAAGTATAAATATGGCAGGTGGTATTGTAATACGCTTTTCATGTTGAGCGTTTAAGAAAAAACAGGGACACTTACAATAAATACATATAATAAAAAAATCTAGCAACGCGTGCACCAAAAATAATAACCTGGTTTAGCATTATATGTTATATATTAATAAATAATATATACATTACTAGTCCTAAAGAGCTTGGTTCAGCCGATGTTGTAATAGAGAAATAATTTTACGTAATAATTAGTAGCGAAAATATAACAAATAAAAAAATACATAAATAGTTGCAGCACATATAAAAAAAAAATACTGTTATGGACAAAAATTAGCATAACAGTTCTGACGATGACTAAATGTTGACAAAAATCATTATGCGTAATCCAATGATCCCATGGCAGATACATGGGCTTGCCTTTAAAAGTTAAGGTCAACAAATTTACAGTTGTCAGTGCCGAGTATTAATAAAAAATTAAAGTTTATCAACAAATGGCAATGTAATGTGATGTCAGTGCATATTGTCGTTCAAGACGTAAAGAGGATAGTGGAAATGACTTAAGGGTACACACAAGATCCGTCCATTGAACCAATTCCAAATGTACTAAACACAGATGACTATTTGGTCGTGACTAGAGATGATATACGATATAAGTTATAATATGATAATATACGCCGTCGCAAAATACAGTCGGTCGAATCAAAATACAATTTTGACAAATATACAAATATAATACAAAAAATAATAAATTAAGAGTAGGGGACCTATTTGTTGCGTTACAATCGAATTATCCTCATTACATTTAAAAATATATGGAGTATTTTATTCTAAAAATTTAAAATTCATATTTATAACTTATCAGGGAGTAAAAAATTAATACATGGAAGAGAGGATGAGTAATCACTAGGGATAAGTTTTTCAATTGTAATTTTTCCTTTTAGTTGATTAATATTTAAAATGTTTTCAAAAGTGAACGGTTTTTTTTTTTGTACAAAACTAATAGTAGTTGAACATTTGTTTATTATAATTAAAACTGTATGTTAATTAAGTGTTTTAAATTAAATTTTATGGAATAAATATAAATTTTGTGGCTTATATCTAAAAGCTGTTGTATCACAAAAATGTCAAAATCTCTTAACATTTTAACAAAGAAGGATGTTTGTTTTTGCGTGTTGAAAAATTATGATGTAATTTTACGGGAAGGTTTTATTTGATTCACCTCAAAATATCAATATCTTTAAGATGCCATTGAAATTTAAATTTTTTTCTTGCTTTCCTTGAAATATGCTAAAATTGAAATATCAACTTTTGGAAAATAACTACAGAATTGGTTTTCATATTAAATAATTTCTGTTAATTTACAATATTATTATGTAATTAAATACAAAAAAAGTATATTTTCACACGGTCCGGCGACACTTTGTGATACTTTAAGCTCCTCGACCGCGTCACGCCGTCGTAGTAAATAGAGCATTTGAACTTAATTCTTATTATATTAATTTTATCAAACTATAGGTAATAGTTTATAGTTGTTTAATGAAGGCCAAACTCATATATTAAACGAATAGAACTATTCAATAAAACGTGTCAATAAATTATGTAAAAAAATCCATAAAAATGAACTCAACGTTTATTTAGTTAATAAAATTTTAATTTTGTAATCTAAAAGTAAACATGATAAAATAAAAAAAAATGCATTGCTTTGTTAAAAGTAAAAATGTATGACGATAAAACAAAATCAAAAAGAGAATTACACTCACGGATTAAATAATATATGTATCATTTAAAGTTAACAAAATAAAACAATTTTACAAATCTATAATAATTGTTATAGGATTATAATTATTTTTATTTAATGTGAAATAATTAATATGTTTTGAATATTTGATTTAAAAATGTTTCAACTACTTATAACTTATGGTCTCAATTTATTTTCTCGTATTTATTATTCTTCTAATTTTATTTATTGAATTAATTGTATTACATATTTTTCTACTATGCAACCAATCAATTTTTATCATATTTTGTTCGAATAACGCGTAAAATATTTCATATTTTATTTGTTGGTAGACACTTGGACCTTTTCCTACTAAATTAAGCATTAAAATATTATTTTCAAAATCACGTGGATTGATATAACACATGTTTTTAAAACATCAAAAATGTAGGAAATCACTGATTCATCTGTTGATCTTATCAACGCACATAATATACACTTTAAATCATGCCCATCTTCTTCACATATAATTTTAGAATTTAAATTAAAAAAAAAACTATGATTCATATTTATACTGTATTTGGTTTAAAATTAACCTAATGAGTGATAAAAAAAGAAAACAATAAATTTTAACGTTATATTAATTTAAAACTAATTATTTATTCGTTAATGTATAATAATTAAAAAAAAAATTATCAATTTTTAATGGTCTTCTGAAATAATTTTCAACAAATCTAATAACTTTCGATCTATTGAATATTTTAAATTGCTTTTTTTTCAATTATTACTAATAATAATAATATACCTTAAGAATATAAAAAATAGCACTTAATTATTATGTTTTAATTTATTGAAATTTGTGATAAATGTTTAAAACAATAATTTTAAATTAATAATATTGTAAGAAAAATATCTTGAAGTTATAGGTATGTAAACTTTTTCCATGGAAATTATTGTTTCAATAACAGATTTAAATTTAGACGACAATAATTTCTATGGAAAACATTCATGACACAAAAATTATTTTCCTACTTAGATACACTAACTTTTGATATCGTAAAATAATCATCTATAAAACATTAAAAGACGATTTCTCTGCCAATTTTTTTTTCTTTAAATTTACACTACAAAATCCGAGCACAGTGAGAGGGGAACAGCATAGTTGAGATAGGTGTAGATGATATCTATAGATATACGATGATGACACGGTCCTGCGTCGCTTCATGTTACACGGAACTCTGCGACCCGTGCCACCTTTATCAGCCTACGCCCTACTATGTGTGTATATGGTAGTTTGACTGACTAACACCGCGTGCCATACGCCACAGTACAATGTCCAGCAAGTGCTGCACGTCCGACCGCGACTCGCCGCAAATATATGTGGAAGTCATCTTAGTAACACCTCCTTGTTAACTTTGTATCTCGAGCACAAAAACGTCCCAAATCACCCCTTTTGTGGCGTACAGTGAATTTTGAACGACCAACACCGTTCCCTCACTCGATCTCGAAAATTATTCATTGTGAAAGTTATTTTAACTATTTGTTGTGTTTTTTGCGCGATTTTGTTTGTGTAAATAAACTTTTATAGTAGCCAGACTTTTATAGTAGTGTAATTTTTAGAATATTTGATTAATTTTTAAAATTCAGAGGTTTTTTCAAACTCTTATAGCTGATAGGTTTAAATACATTAAGTTTGAATTCGTATAGATTAACAAAATTTTTCCAGTGAAAGTTCAGAATAATAATGGACAGACAGGAAAAAAATACATCATGTTAAAACCAATACATTATCAGTTTTACATCAAATTTAAAAATTACTATCTTGATATTTTGTCTACATTTTTCACAAATATAAAAATATATATATTTTTTTCAATAAATTAAAATAAATAATATTTCTGATGATATTTTCATAGTCCAAAAGTATATAATAATAATTAAAAAGAAGAAGTAACGAAAAATATTTAAAAGATCAAAAGTTATTAGATATGATATAACATTATATACAATTCTATATACATTTGGATCTTATGTATTTTTACAATTCAAAAAAACTTTCCCAATACCATTTTATTTTTAACTATGTTTTAACAATAAACAAAATATTATCGAAAAATTTTTTATGCTTAAATTATTATTTAAAAAAACGTACCGACTATATGTTGAAGATAAGTTATAAATATTTTTTTCATAACTGTTCTTCGTCGTTCGACCTCAATTTAGGTAAATTGTATTACCTAAAATAAAGTATTGAATTATACAGAGTGTTCAGTAAGTCTGGAAACGGGTTTCTATTGTTCTCATTGTTTGTCACAATGAGAACAATAGAAACCCGTTTCCTGACTTACTGAACACCCTGTATAATAGTATGTACATTTTTTCGGATGTTATTTTCAGGATTTTAACTGATTATTTTTTCCTTATAATATGCATTCCATTTTATAATATCACGTTGTATAAAAACATGTATATTTACCCTTATTTTTCAAGAAACTGCCTAAAACAATATTATTTTATTGATCTTTCATTTAATGAATCATAGTATAAAAATTAAACTTCACACTTCCATTCAAAGATTTTTGTTGCAATATGATTTTTAGCATTTTAAAATAATCATTAGCATCTAATATATTAATCGAATTATAAAATTTAATAGTTATATTTGAAAATTGTTTTTGAATAAACAGCAATAAAATTAATTAAGGGTGTGGTGTGGTGCAGTTTTCATTTAGCTCTGTTCAGCTGTGCTGCTTGTTATTAGTTCCTAAACGGAAGACCATATCAACGAAACACACCTTATCCTCATACTGATGCCCACAGAAATAATGAGGTTGTGCAATGTCGACACCCAGTAAAAATCCTTTCAAAACAATTTTAAAGTAGAACCGACCCCAAAAAGTTGGGCTATGAAGATGATGGTGAGACAGCAGTAAAACTGACGAAGTGAATTAAATACTTTCTTATAGCATAATGTTAAAAACTATTTTAAAAAAATTGTGATATCATACTCGTAATTAGTAAAAATAAGGATTACATTTTTTGTTAATTTTCAGTATTTATATCTATTTGTTAATATAAATCATAACTAAATTTAAAAAAAACTGAAGAATATATCAATTGGCTTATTAAACGATGTTATTATTTTTTTATATAAAATGAATCATTTATTACTTCCATAGAATTTAATAGATTTTAAATCTGGTAAAATAATAAACAATTGTTGATTAATAATTTTATAATTCAACAACATAAATACAAAGAATACTTTAAATATTTAATGTTTTTTAGCCATTAAATTTCGTTGACTCCAAATCAATATAAAAAATAAAACGGTAGCACAGTGGGGTCGTGGCATAGTGGAGACATTGCATAGTAGGGTCCAGTATAGATTTAATCTGACAGTGATTAAAATCACTATCATAAGAAACGCTTCGATGCAAATCTGTAGATAGTGTTTAATTTTAAAAAATTGATGGATAATTGCAAAAGCAACATCAACTTCTATTAAAATAAAATACAAAACCCATAATTATCATACAAAAATAGTATATTTTTCAATATGGTAGCCATTTGCGTATAGAAGATAGATCGTCGGGACAAATTTTTTTTTT